TCTTTTCCTGGGACTTGGATAATTATATCCCCTCAGTAAATACCCACGGAACACTTAGGGTCTCTATGTCTTCTGAGTCTATGTAATATGTATAAAAGCAAAGGTGAAAATGAAGAGAGGAAGCCATGACATTTGGGAGGGCTGAATATGGGTTAGGCTGCGCTATTTAAAGACCCCAGGGTGCAACACAAGTTAGATTTATATGACATGAGTAACAGAACAAGCAGGAGAGGAGAGGGATGGGCTGAATAGAGAAGAAGTTTTTGATAAGATGGCCACCGACTGCATTTGAGCCAAGACTTTGGCAAGGAGAGATGAGCCCTAAACTCAACAGAGAATGAGGATGGTGGGTGGGTTTGACGCCAACAGCCACAAAATAGGATCACCTGAGTAGGCAGTTGCACCTGAAGAAGAGTCCCGATAGCTTTGACTCACGTGGGAGCCTCACCAAAGGGTGGGCCGCACCTTTCAGCAGCATCCCGGATAAAAAGGCTGTGGCAGAACATCTGGTCTTTTGCTGGCTTGGCCTCCCCTCTTGCCACCAAGTCGGTTTGCTTGCGGATGCTGCTGATTTCTCGTTATTAGAAGCAGTGTTTCTAAACTCTCATCACGGACTATCAGCTGCCCAGAAAACCTCCCGACTTCTGCTGTCCTATTGAGAGAGCTTGTGGACTTGGCAACTACCTGCTGAAAGCCAGCGTTGTGGAACTACTCTGGCCTGTAGATACTGGATGGATTCTCAGCCTTCAGGTGTGCTTGTACCATCATTACTATTTTACGTCTATATTTTCATCCCTTATTTTATGTCTATATATCCCTTATTTTATGACTATATATGTCTATATATTCATCATTTAGTTTATGTATATACATATATATATATCCTCTATTTTATGACTACATATGCCTATATGTTCGTCACATTTTATATTTCCATTCCTTATTTTATGTGTATATATGTATTCCTTTGGTTCTGTTCCTCTAGACGACTCTTACTCATACAATGATGTTCCAGACTAGGGGAGCAATGGACCTCATGCATGGTGTGGGAATTGTGGCGTCTGAGACTGAGCAAGCAAGCCCATGTGGCTGGAAGGGACTTGGGTGTGGAACTAGGGGAGCAGAAGAAAATCTCAGGCATGTCTTGTTATGGGGCAGGCATCGCTGGTGATATCCTGGGCTCTGTTTGGGGCTTTAAACAGAGAAGTGTCATGGTTTGAGTCACATAAGTTGTGTAACTATGGATTCTCAGATCTCAGGATCTGCTGTTGTTGGCTTTGTCTTGAGCAGAGGAATTAGGATTGACAGGACAGATAACTTCGGTGTCACTTTTAGATAGGGTTTCTGATGCGGAGAATCCTGATGGCAGTGTTCTGCCCATTAGACCACACTGCCTCCCCCAGTCCTCACATCTGGTTTTTCCATGGTTACATAGTAAAAGACCAAGCCCCAACTGTCCTCATTTTAATTTATATGTATTAAAATCTATGGCAAATAATTCATGTAATTATCTCAAAAACATCTAAATAAGAACCTTCAATTGTGAGTTTCAATAGGTTTTACATATGTTTCTGACAAATATGACACAAATATGACTCTGATGTTTTCTTAATAGCCTTCTAATACACACATACACTTACCTAAAACTGCACCATCTCTGATATTCTGATCAAATTGTGTACAGTGATTAGGGTCTTCTGGCTTTCCTGGCAAAGTTGGTAGTTTTTGCCTCGGAGCAGCCTCCGCACTGTTCTCACATTTCCTGGGAGCCTTTTAGTGTCAGCTGTGACTCTCTGTATCTCTGCCGACCTCCTAGTTACATAGGAGTTGGGCTGAGGGCGAGAGTAAGAATCCACAGGTGTCTGCTAGGTCTATAAGCCTGTGCTTTCTCCCTTTCTTCCAGTGACTGCTCTCCTTTCCTGCCATTGGTGGATGAGTCTCCATTCCATTGGTCACTGTTGGGTACCTCACCCAACCTGAGCCCTCTTTTGTAACTGGGGATGACTGTGGAGAGTCCAGACTGGACTCTGGATGGGAGCATCTCCATGGCCATCTGTTTGCTGTGTGCCCTGGACAGAGGGGAAAGCAGATTGGCAGAGTAAGGAGGTGCAGCAGAGGCCAGAGACCAGGTCTGTAAAGTCTCCATTTCCTTGGTTCAGCCAAAGGGCTGGCTGCACACTTACGCTGAGGGTTCACAAAATATGCTATATTGAGAGCCATGTGCTCAGCACAGAGGCTCCGTTAGGGGGCATGTTGGGTAAGAGCCAACCGTAGGTTGAAAGTGGGCCAAAGCTGTGGGGAGTGGCTTTTGTGACTGCTACCCACGGGCTGATACTTACTGAAGGTTCTGGCTCACTCTGTCTACACACCCGGAGCTCACTGTCCCAGGTGCTGGGTGATATTAACTCATGACTTTTCCTAACCACCCAGTGAATCGGCTACTAGGACTGACACTGTGTGAAAAAACCCTGTGCAAAACAGCCTTGGCTCGGAGAACTTAAGAAATATAGAAGTCATTGAATCAACAGGACAAGTGAATGATTTAATAGGGGGATAAAAGAGACAGGAGTCCAGGCTTCTGGCTGTAATGATAGGCACCTGGGACAAAGAGCGGGTGGGGCTTGGGGTGGAAGATACTTAGGTGTAGTGTGTGTGTTTAAGACAAAAGGGTCTGTGAGAGTCTGGAAGTCACTGGGCTGTTGTAGGTGAAGAATAGCAGTCTGTGGGACTCAGGCGTTCATGCTTCAATGTTCTCTCTGGAGGCATGAAGCCAGGGAGACACAGAGCTTACCAAGGAGACCTGAAGACAGGAAAGAGGAATGGCTCAGGCTCTGGCCATGCATGCCTCTGTCCTCATCCCAGTGTCTGCACCGAAGGCAGGAGTCACTTGGCTGCCAGCAGGGGGCACTATCTAACGCTTCACTTGCAGGGGATTGGAGGCAGCACAGCTAACCCACACACTGGCAGACAGGAATCCTACGCTTAGGCTGTGTCAGGTTGTGCCTGGGTTCCAGAAAAAACTGCTATGCATGCCTAGTCTGTGACAGAACACCCTCAGAAACAATCCGAGGGAGGAAGGATTTGCTTTGCCTTATGCTTTCAGGGACCATCATGGTGGGAAAGGCATGGCACTTCTGCAGCTGGAGTGTGCGGCAGAGTTGCCTCAGGTCTTGGTGGACCGTGGAACAGAGACAGAACCAGAACCAGACTCCAGTACCGTCTTCAAAGCTATACCCTGGGACCCAAATTTGCTAGGTGGGCCATAGTCTCAAAGGTTTCACAATTTCCCCAAACAGTGCCTTCAGCTGGGGATCAAGTGTACAAACACACCAACCTTTGGACATTGCACATCCAAACTATGGCACCCCACACCTGCACCTCAAGGACAGCTATCTGCCTTCCCTCGTCCTTGCTTCCCTTACCTGCTGGCTTCCTCCTGGTTCTTTCTGCTGCTTTGTTTCCTTGTGCTTTCTGTCTGTCTCTGTCCTACTGTAATTCTATTTAACTGTCCCCCTCCCTCAGTCTCTGAGTGTCTCTGCTGCTTTCCTTCTCTGCTTGCTGATCTTTTTTTCTTTTTGCCCCTTCCCTCTAGACCCCACTCTCCCTTTGTCTCTCTCCTCTTGTATCCGTGCCTACTCCTCTCCCCTCCCCCATCTCCTGCCTCTAGGAAGAGGGCAGAGATCATGGGGAGGATTGGATGTCATTAAAGACACAAAAGGAGAAAGGACTTCTCTCCTGCTTAGCCCTGGGGAACTCCTAACGATGAGAGACACTTTGGTGGGTAATCGATAGGAACAAGATGCAACGAGACATCTTTGTTGGGTCGCCACTGACGGTAGCTCCCTCTAACCAGAGCCCCTGGGAACAGCTGGCCTCTCAACCAGGCTTAGACAGAATGCATCACAGCACAGAGAACTTGAAGTGTGAACCCAGCAAACGTAACCCTGGGGCACCTCATTTCCATTACCCCCTCCCTCCCCAGCCCTCCTCTCTCTCGGTGCTACTTTACAAATATCATGAATAGAGACACTGCCATGGGCTAGACACAGACTCTAGGCAACCTAGGTTGCTGGGGAAAAAGTCTCTGGTTGACCTCATACTTTTAATCATTTTAAGCCCTGATATCCTCACTCTACACCATGGAGTTTCACACTGTCATCCATTATAGGCAAAACAGCCTGCTTTCTTTTCGAATAGAATAGCAAGTCTAGTCAAGACATCTTCAACTCTGATTCTTACAGACAGGATCCCACTTGCCTGTCTCACTGTCAAACAGCAGCACGAGGCTCACAGGAGGTGATTAAACGCTGAGTGTGATAGATGTACTATGCACAGTAGGTGCTTCTTAAAGAGTTTGTCTGATGAATGGATCTATCAGCTTTTACACCCATATGTACCACAAATCCACTTCTTACTTTTTGCCTCTTGCTGCTGCCCAAGACTTGTTAAGTTGAACTGGAGTTCTCTGTGCGTGTGATCAGCCCTCTTAGGAAACCTAATTGGAGCTCACCAATTGACTAGATCAGGTGGCCAGTGAGCTTTAAGATCTTCGGTCTGCCTCTTAGGGCTCGGTTACGGTACACACAAGTGCCTAGTTCTTTAGTGGTGGTCCTCATGCTTGCACAGCAAGTACTTTGCTGGTTGAGCCAATTCCTCAGCCCCTGCATTCTGTTTTGTCAGAGATGGAAGGTGGCTCACACAGAGTCATGCACATCATGTTAAAAGCTAAGGAAGAAAGAATCCTTAAAGATCATCAAGGCAACTCATTCTTCCCCTGTTTCTCATGGGATCAAAGTATGCTCAGAGAATAGTGACATGCCCTGGCAAAGAGCTGGGCAGTGGGAAAAGAATTCGTTAGTCTCTTAAAATTTTATAGTTTTTGTCTTGCCCTTTATTTTTATACACTTAGGTACTGACAGGTATAAGACTTCCCGAGTGCCTATCTCCATGTTAGCCTTAGGAATGTACCACTAAACTCTCTCTATCCTCACAGTTACAATGGAAGGATGGGACCCATTCCCAGCCCTCAGTGAGTCGAGGCAAACAGACCCAGTGGCAGGTAATGGTTTTTTCATTGGCTTATGCCCAAGAGTCAGGTGGACTGTTTGCACGTCCCTGTTATGATTAATGTCTACCTTTGTTGCTTCCTCTCTATCCTGCACATATCTTTTTCCTTTGACTTACCTTATTGGTTTTTAAATTAGCTTTATGATATATAATTTACATGTAATGAAATTAATCAATTTTCTGCATTCAACTCGATGAATTTTGACAAATGCATACAGATGATGGTGCAGTCAAGATAAATAGAGCGTTCATTTCTCCCAGAGTAACCTCATACTCCTTTGCAAGCAATTCTCCATAGCTAGCCCCAGGCAACTATTGATCCTTATTCAGCTGTAGTCTGGCCTTTTCCAGAAGTTGACAGGATCGGATTCATTTTGTATCTAAGTGTGTTCACTTAGCAAATTTTTGTGAGATTCATCAGTGTGGTGGTTTGAAGGTGAAATATACTCCATAGGCTCAGCGGCTTAATACTTGGTCCCCAGCTGGAGGCATTATCTGAGAAGATTGTGGAAACTAGGATGTAGGAAGTAGGCCAGTGGGAGTGCATCTTGCTTTGTAGCCTGACCCTACTTCTGTCTGCTTATTGACTGGGGACAATGTGAATGGCAATTTCATGGTCCTACTGCCTCATTCTCTTGCCACAGTACGTCTCTGCCACAATGGCTGGACTGTATCCCCTGAAGCTATGGACCAAAATAAACCCCATATCCCCGAAGTTGCTTCTTGTTATGTGTCTGGTCACTGAGATAAGAACAATAACTATTACAATCAGTTTCTTTTACATGAATCGCTAGACCTTCCTTTTTGTTTCATTAAAACAATCACGTGATTTATATTATTTACTAAGAAATCACTTCTTTCCTATGTAGATCTACTGAGATTCAAATATTCAGCAGATGATGAACATTTACACCTTTTTGTCCTTCCTTCCTTCCTTCCTTCCTTCCTTCCTTCTTTCCTTCCTTCCTTCACTTATGTTTACTGTGAATAAAAGCTGCAAGTAGCCTTGTATATCAGTCTTGTTTTTTAAAATTCTTCCACCCCCTGTGCCTGTGTGCATGTATGTGTGTTTGCACATGTATATTCATCCACACTTGTCTGCAGAAACCAAAGAAGTCGTTGGATCTCCAGGGGCTGAAGTTCAAGGCACCTGTGAGCCATTTGACATGTGTTCTGGGAGATGAACTATGGTCCTCTGTAAGAGCAGCAAGTACTCATAACCTTAACTGGTGAGTTACCCCTCCACCTTCGCATGCCCGTCTTGTTTTATTTTCAGATGCTGTCATTTCTACTGACTAAAGACATAGGACAAGAATTACTAGATTGTATATCAGATTCTTGACTTCAAAGAAACTTCCAATGCATTGAGTTAACCCTGGCGATATGGGAGATGAGGTTATATCCTATCTCCACAAACACTTAGCAGTAGCCAACATTCGATTCTTGACTATGTAGGCAAAATGGTATCTCATCATGGTTCTGACATTCTCCAGTGACCTAGGATAGTGAATATTTTTTTTCCCTCTGGTCAAGCACCTGTTCATTTTTTTGGGTCTACCTTTGTCAGATTAGTTATATTCTTATTATTGACTTGAAAGTGTTTTGCATTTGTATTCTGAGAGTTTTATTGTTGTTGTTAGTATTTGTAGTGGTCCAGGGTTGCCTAGAACTCACTGTGAACCCAGGTTGGCCCCGACTTTGTGGCAGTCCTCTTGTCTCAGCCTCTCCAGTGCTGGAATTACAGGTATGACCTTCCATGCCCAGACACAAGGCTTCTTTTCATATTTTATTTAACAGTTTTCTTTCTAACTGATAAGTGTAATTATATATGTATGGGCTACACTGTGGTGTTTTGATTTTAGAGTGTTTAAATTAAGCTAATGAGTAGATCTATCACCTTACTTATCTGCTTTTGTGTGGTGGTAAGAAAAAAATCTAAAATGTGCTCTTTTAGCAATTCTGACATAAATAGTGTGTGGTTGCAGCCACCATCCTGTGCGGTGGGTTTCTAGAGCTGTCTGAGAAAAAAAAATTATGCCCCACAATTAACAATTATCATTTCTCTCTCTGCCCCTCCCCCAGTTCTGCTAATTACCATTCTATTTTCTCCTTCTGTGAGTTCAGCCCTTTTATATGCTACACGTAAGTGAGATCATGTTTCTCTTCATATTCGCCATACAAGTGCTTTATGGTGAATATATTTTGCATATATTTTCTTGCAGTTGACAGCTTAGCTTTTCAAGGCAAGTCTGATATCGTTTACTTCATCATGGCTAAACCTGACCGAGCTTCACTTATGATCCCTCCAGACCTCATTTTTTCTCATTTGTAGCCTGGTACCAAAAATACATCTACCTCTCAGAGTTCATGAGGATTTAAAGTGACAGTGCATGTAACTCTCAGCATAATGTCTAAAACCTAATAAGGCCTTGCAAATCACCAGCAGATTGTTATTGTTTGATTTTTATTCATTCCATCTCTGTTCAGTCAAGAATAGTCCTCTTTGGGCTTCATGTCATATTATCTGCAGCTGGTAGCTAGAAATAACTGAAGCAGTCTGGACTGGATCTAAGGGTGTGGGAGTAATTAGCATGCTGCTATTATCTGAAGCCCAAGGCTGGGTGAATTCACTGGGTCAGGGTGCGAAGTATGGCATTTGGGATGAGATGGCCACCGCTGGACCTTGAACAAGTATAGCCCTTTGGGGATAGGCAAAGGAAGAGAGACTCATGGAGGAGAAGGAGGAGAGAGGAGGAAAGGGAATTCAGGAATGAATGGCTTCATAGATACCAAGGAAGGGATGGAGTCAAGGTGGAAGGGATCACCAACACTGTGCTCATGGTTTCCACGCGAAGTGTTCCCCAGAGGCTTTCTCCTTAGCCCAGGATGCCTCAGGGAGGAGATGGAACCTCTAGCCTATCGGGCTAGGAGAAAGTTGGTAGGTCATCTGGAAATGTACTCTTGAAAAGAGTATTGGGATACTGGACCCTTTGTGTGTCTTCTGCTTCCTATCACCAAGGGCAACAGCTTCTTCTGCCACACACTCCCACCACCCTACTCTGCCTCAGCACAGGTTCAGAGTAATGGAGGCAGCCAACCAGCAGCTGAAAAGTCAGAAATTAGGATGCCAAATAAAGGTCCTTATTTAATCGCGAGTGTTTGTCACAGTTAAAGAAAGTTGACCTACACAGATGACAGTGCTTTAGAGGAGGTGTGCCCTGAAGGGACCTGGGTACTAGCTAGAAGGGGGACATTGTTACCTCAGTGAAGAGGAAGCACAATGACAGTGGTTTAAGAGGCAAGCAGGTGGTCAGGTTTTGAGAGTATCCAAGAAACATTCTACTTCCCCTTCTGAGTTTTGGTAGAATGATGAAAGAAGAGATGAGTTGGGAAATTTCTCTAGGGAGTGCCAATGTGGAAGAAAGGGTTCTTTTTCCTGTATGGGAGAGACTGGGGCACTCTGTGGGCAGATGGGACAGAGTCAATAGAGTCAATGATTGAGAGGGAATGAAAAGGGTTAGACCCCTGAGAGTGCAGGAGTAGAGCACCCTGGAATTAGGGAGCAGCCTGGCTTTATACTGTATGGGTTGGCTGAGCTGGAATGGCGTTCTCACGTCATAATCATGGGTAGAGTGGACCAAAAGAGAAATGTGCATGAGATTAGGCATGGCAAAGGGAAATAGTAGCCATTATTCAGTCGTTTTGGTTAAACCCAGTGCAAGAAGATATGTGCAGAAGGGGCAGGTAGAATCAAGATTATCTTGTGTTTCGCAGCAAAAGTTAGATGCAGAAATGCCAGGAAAATTTCAGCTCATCCGTACTGCTCTAAACTCTGTGCTTAATTCTTCCTCCTTCCTGAGCACCCTGCGTTGCAGCACCAATCCATGATGAAAAACAGATGTAGCAGCAACAGCCTACCAAAGACTTTTCTATCATCTTTCCTCTAGAGCAGTGGTTTTCAACCCTTTGGGGTCGTATATCAGATATCCTGCCTAACAGATATTTACATACAACTCGTAACAGCAGCAAAATTATAGCTATGAAGTAGCAATGAAATAGTTTTATGGTTGGGGTCAATACAATATGAGAAACTATTAAAGGGTCAAAGCATTAGGAAGGTTGAGAACTACTGCCCTAGGGACACGCCCCCATCAGCAAGCTGTGTTTGGCTACTTGTGTGCCTTTTAGCTATGTGCCTCTGTTGAATTCCCATTTGATCTCTTCCTTGCTCACTTCTCCCAGTCTTCTAGGAGGGCTAATTGCTAGTTTTTATTTTGTTATATCTAATTCCAGATTCTTTGGCTATTATTTTGTTTGCTACTTTTGATTTTTACCCTTCTATAGCTACACTATTCTTGCCACAAATCATTTAACCCATAACACTCTTGGTTTTCAGCTCCCTAATTATGTCCTGACTGATAGGAGGGTAGAGGGACATTTTTATTGAGACTGGGAAAAGGCATCAAGGCTAGGCATAGGAAAAAGAACAAAGGAATTTTGGTCACATGATCTTGAGGTTTTAGGTCATTTTTGTGAATTCACATGTAGGAAGAGGTAAAGGTTAGGAGAGAGTCTGAGGCTTAAAGATGTTGGAGAAACTCTAGAAAGTGTGATCGGAAGGGAAGAGTGAAGAACTATGGGAATCATGGTTTTGACAAGCTGAAGAGTTGGAGGTGGCTCAGAGCTTGGACACTGCCCTCTAGTGCTTGAATCAGTTCACATAGTCCTCTCTGTGGTCACAATTTCTCTGTTCTTATCCCTTCTCTATTCTACTTCATTTTGAGGGAACTTGAAACCCTCCAGCTCCCTGCCCAACTAGCTTCCAAACAGACCCGGTTAGTGCATAATGCTAACAGATGATGGAGGAGGGAAAAGAAGGAAGCCAGGCTGTCTGCCATTGGTGTCCCGTTCCACCTTCTTGCGCCTCTGGCTATGAATGTCTCTTCCACAAGGCCAGCCTTCCATCTGGCTGGTGGATTCATTTGTGTTTCCTGCTTCAGTCAGAAAATTTGAAAATGGTAGCAATTTCTTCCTGCTCCTACCCCGATTTCCATATCAGCTGCTCTAGGACCCAAGTAACAAGGTCTCAATCAAATGCCCTGTGTTTGAAGGACCGGACTGGTTTTCATTTTCCTCACTGAGGTGGTTTGCACGGCAGAGTCAATGTTGCTTCTCTTTCAGAGTCATTGAGAGCTGATCCATGACTCCTTGGGGTACATGGAGAAAAGGAAGCAGCTAGAGAGTTACCACTGAGTCAACTCCTTGTGCACGCCAGGTACCTTTCATTCCTTGTGTACTATTCTCACTGTCCCTGTGACTTAGGGTATACCGTTATGTGCCTCCATTTTTTTTTTCATTTGTAAAACATGAGCAATAGGATTCCCTCCCCATGTGGTTATTGAAAGAATGAGGTGAACTACTATACATACATAAAAGCTTTGGAACAGGGGTCAGTGAGGTGATGGGTGGAGATGCTTGCCATAGTAATGGCCAACTGATCCATCTGCTAGAAGGAGAAAACTGACTTTCACAAGCTGTCTTCTGATTTCCTGCACGCTAACACACACACACATACACCATGCTTGCACGCATGTGCATGTCCCAAAGTGAAGCAGACCCACAGCACGTGTTCACTGCTCAGTGTTAGCTATGAGTGGCACAACTTAGAGCTGCTCCTTTTGCTTCTTTGCTAATTTTCTACAAAAGCCCAAGACTCCTTGCAGTCAGTGCGGTTGGACAACTTGCTCGTTCTCAGAGCTCGGGAGTTACTGGGATTTGATCCCTTGTATTCCAACCTGAACCTTTCCTACGGCTCCCCTTATACCAGAGGGCTCACACCTAGTTGTGCAACAGAAGCATGGAACAGGGTCTCTCGTTCTCTGCTCTCCTCTCCCTCCTTCTAGAACTTCTGTGTTTAAAACAAAGCGAAGCCGCGTGAAGGCGTAAGAGCAAGACGGGCTTGGTCCTAGTAATAGTTCTTCTGAGAGACTTTGGCTGGAGTCTCACAGAGGATGGCAGCTGCTGGCTGGGAGGTGAGAATGGGGAGGGGCGTGTGTGCACTTACCCATGTGTGTATCTGTGTGTACATGTGTGTATGTGTGTGTGTGTATGTATGTATGTCTGTATGTATGTATGTATGTATGTGTGTATGTATGTATGTATGTATGTGTGTGTGTGTATGTATGTATGCATGTATGGTGTGTGTGTGTGCATGTGTGTATTTGTGTATGTGTATGGTGTACCTGCATGTG